GGGGGGGGGGGGGGGGGGGGGGGGGGGGGGGGGCTTCATCTTTCATCTGCGGCAGGAAGCCCGCGAACAGGGCGAAAAACCCCAAAGGCCTCCACACCGAGCGTTCGGAACCATGCCGCGTGAAATATGAACGCTCTTGTTGTGTGCTGGATGTACCCTGTGCTAGAAGCTGCGATAGAGCTTACGAACATTAGCAGGGTTCCAATTGACCTTTCTTAGCTGCCGGCCCGTTCTTCACTCTTCGGATGACCGCGATAAACCCCTTGGCTCCGCTTTTCGAGGTTGCACCCGGAACGACCATGTTTGTTTTTCTTTTCGTAGCGGTTTGTGGTAGTCCTCAGTTGGGAATTATTTGTTGTGTAGACTGTGCTCAGTTCGTGTAGGAGAGTAAGGAGTTGACTCGGCCGTATGGTCTCGGAAGTAGACGAAGGGCACCCCCGCATTACAGAGCATCTGCCAACCTCCGTCACGGGCGACACGGATGAACGCATGTATACCGAAAATCCGTGATGCGTGTTATACACATCGACCGATTCGTTTGTTTCCGTTCGCTCTCGGCGGGTGTCTGTTGCCAGGACATACACCGTTGAGTGGACCGGAACCGGCGACAGTCGCTTCGATATCGACCTCTACTACTGCGGCTCCTTCTGCATGGAGGTACGGATACGGGATTTTTCCCTAAACTTTTTGCCGCAGGGTTCCGCTTTTCAATGTGTGCGTGTACCTGACACTCGAACGTATTCCGGGGATGGGCACAATCAACCCACACAGGAAACTAGAAACCGAGCTTCCTCAACGATATGTTTTTTCTTTCGTGGGCACGGGTGATTGCGATGTTTATTGCATTAGCAATGGTGTGGACGGCTCGGCATATCTTGCCTTCCAACACTGTTTTCTTGAGGGACGTGGTCTACATAAAGATCAGCTGTCGTATGGTGTTCGTTTTGCCGGTTGTAAATCGCGAGAGATGCCAAGACATTCTTCCAATCAAAGGCGGGCGAGAAAACTAAGCAGATGTCGGCACTTGAGCGTGCGTCTGGATTATGTGCAAGATTTGATACCGTGGTGGGTATGTTCGCATCACCCATCGTTTGCACGTCCGAAGGGTAATATGGCGTGCCTCATCGTCCATGGTGTTGAGTAAAACGTATGCCTCCTTCCCTATCATGAGTATTTCGCAATGTGTTTGTTTCAGTTCCAAGTCAGGGTGCCGAGCCCTCCTCAGCTTCGCGTGTTCTTCATATGAAGCCCTACTGAGCACACCGCCTCCGCTCCACAACTGCCGCAATGCGTTCAATTGTCTTCCGTGAACGCAGGACGATTGCGGTGACTGGGTGACGGCCCTTTGCCCGTACGGCGCGGATGGCTGCCCCGACACTCAAGGTGACTACGACATCGTTATGCCCGAGCCCATGGACGGTACCTCCAGCGGCTACAAGGTATGCTTCCGCAAGGCTTGGCAGCGATATATTTCAGCGATCGATGCGGTCAGATGGTTGTGGGAAGACTCTCGCGGAGAATTTCGTTGGTATTGTGGGACGTTTCAAGCCGCGCAGCGACCCCATGTTAGGCGCGAAAGAAGGCAACTTGCACAAGTGTGGTTACTGACAGCGCGTTGGTTCTGCTCGCCCCAACCTCCAGATCATGGTAACTGATTCCAATGACGAGTCCAGCATGGGCTGCTCTGGCGACTTCACCCTGGTCGCGTCCACGGATGCACCCGCGGCTGGCGAAGTGGGATACAGTCTCACCGTAAATTCTCCCTCGGACGGCGACATCGCGATGGCCGGCGAAGTGTACACCGTTGAGGTGAGGAAGTTATGCATCTTTTCGGACAACACTCATGACGTCCGGAAAAGACCACCGGCTACTAACAATTCTCAGGAGGGGATTCACCACGTTGGAAAAGTCATATGCTATACATGGTAGGAATGTAAGCTTAATTGTGTTTGTTGATGATGTGATAGGAACACCACAGCGCCGCTCGCCCTAGCTCCCCGCTTTTGCTTTCCCTAATGCACCACGATTCCACTATGCTCTGCCGTCGTCTCGTCGCCACAATCGAATCAGTGGGACTACAATAACGGCTTGGGCTCCTCCAAGGACCGTTTCGCGATCGACCTTTATACCTATGGCACCGGCACCGGCGACTGCGGGACCTACGTGGCTACACTCTGCGACAAGCCCACTATCGGCTGCCCCGACTCGCGTACGTACATCTGCTTGCCCTGTGTGTTCTGGGTTGTTGGTAGTGTGTTTTGGTTCATCTTTGTCCTTACAATGTGCTGTTATTCGTGTCCCAAGTCCGTGTCTTGGCATGTCCATTAGTTGGTTGAATATCTCGCGGGTTGGCGTGATTGACGTGGGTCCTTTGTCGTATTCCACATCGGCGAAAGATTTGGTAAACACTTGTTGTGGAACCGTCGCAACTGCCCTTGATTGTATGTCTCTGCATCTGTGGCACTTGCATGACAATGCACTTACCTCATGTTTTGTGCTTGCGCCAAGATTATGACTCTCAACCTCCCGGCGCCATGTTTGTTGTCACGACTTGTTTTCGCTGGGCCCTCAGAGGGTGACTACGACGTGGAGATCCCGTCGGACACCCCTGCCGGTATGTACTCGGTCCGAGTCGGCGTCTTCTCGGACGAGATAATGTTCGACTGCTCGGAAGCTTTCGAGATCGTCAACGACAGTACGGACTTGTCAATGCGCTTGTAAGGGAATGCCCCATTTCTCTGCTAGGTTCCCAGTGAAAGTAGCTGGAACGAGTGAAGTCGGTTTTTGCTTCATTGATTGAAAGAGACTTGAGATTGTTGGTGGTGGAAGAGGAATTCTCGCATTTGGTGCAGAATCATTTTTTTGCATGGTAGGGTTGAACGACCGATCGACGAGATAGGACAAGGTCGAGGAAAAAAAGTTGTTGTTTATTAGATTGTCGTTATTGTCCTTCGTTGTTTTGCCTGCCTTTTTCGTCTCCATTTCGTTCATGTAGCTTCTGGTGCTAGTTACCCCCTCAACACAGCCTACGTGCTTTCTTGATCCTCTTTGCCGATCTTCTTGTTGTGTTGGACATGTTAATGCTGAGGCATCGTTCCTCCTCGACTAGAACTCTTGAGTAGCGACGATATGGACAGGGGGAGGGTGTCCATGTGCGCCGTGGTGTGTTGTCTTGTTTGGAGCCGTCTTCCTTCGGTAGGCGAGAATATTCAATGTTTGGGTGCCCTGTCCCCCTACATTCGCTGTTGAATCACTTGTAGCATTACTGTGAGAGGATTTCCAAGCGATTAGGGCGTAGGGTCATTTTCTACGAGTATGTTTTGTGTTGGGGACGATGGAGGTATTTCGACGACCACCACAAGCTTTTACAACTGCAGTGCCAAAGCGCTCGAAGTCAGCAGGAAGCCAACGGTATGATAAGTTCTTCCGAGCGTTCGTCACTTCGTGATATCTTGGTCCAAGCGGTGGTCGTAATGGCGATCGCACAGGGTCTGTGCCTGCACGGAGTCGACAAAATCGGAAACGAACGCGAGCTATGCCTGGTGATACGGTCGGGTTACGCAGGGGCGAGGAACGGAAAAGAGGCCTGCCTGCGCTTCCCGCATCACCGGCGCATCTATGGTGCGCACCGAGAGTCGTGCTTTCCAATTCTTTCCATCGACCGGGAATGAATGTGGACGAGGTGCGGTCGGTTGACTCGCGCTGGCGGATGGCTTTCTTGCTGGAAGACGACTGGCAAACGAAAAGGGCGGGTAAGAGGCTGATGAAGCCCGCGGAACGGATGAGAGTGGCCACTGAGGACTTCGCGGGAGTATACAACCGTGTCGTATGAAAGGATTGTTACAGACCGAAAGAAACCGTGCTGAATGGAATGGGAATGACGGGCGGGCAAAAAAAAAAACGACGTTGCAACGTCCGATACGGATAACCAACGTAAGAAACGATTTGTACTGCGCTGCACGCGTCATCGATCGGGAATGACAGGCCCGTGAGGCACCGGGGTTCGAGACATGTTACAATGTCTAATGTATATAGATTAATATGCCTAATTTGGTTGCTTCGCCTACTTGCAGCGCGACAACTATTATTTCGGGAACAGAACTGTCGGTAGAGAGTAAGGTATAGTCACATCCCGGGTTTTGTTTCGTCACAGACGGACATACATGTGGTACAACGGATAGTACCCGTGGTACTTCGTATTACCGGGGATAGCTCTCCCGTTTCTCGATCAACAGTTTATTTGTGTCCATTTTACTTCGCGGAAAAGTTGTACGGAACAAATCATTCCCTGCATCAGCCTGCCCCGGCCACGCGCGGCCGTGGGATAAACCACAAATTGTTCACAAACGTTTCATCCGTCCAAAAAATCGTGGACGTGACACATTTCGGGAGTTCTCCCTTGAGACGAGCCTTCCTTTTGTGAACTTGTCGGCAAAAAGGAAAAGGACCAGCTGGGGCCAGGGCCACCCCCGGACAAAAGACCAATAAAGCCCCCTGCAAGCATTGTTGGCAATATCGTTCCATTCCCCCCTTTTCAGTCAGTCGCAACAAACAGCACCCGTCGATGCTATTGGGCACCCGGAAATTAGGCCTGTCCTCCATCGGCCGTTTTGCTTGTATGACGGAGAATAAGAAGGTGGAATTATTTGAAATTAGTATAGAAATAAAGTTTGTGTATCTAAATCGAAAATAAAACGGCCGATGGAGGACAGGCCTACCGGAAATAACGCAGTCCACCGAGAGATAAAAGGTCAATTTCATTCTCAAACCATCCCGTGCCTTCCAAGGGTTCGACCGGAAAATGTTCGAGCTGTCTTGATTGAGTGCACTCATCACTCCATCCGTTGACATCGGAACGAAGCGATAGATAGAGCAAAGCAAGCTGTTCCTCTTCCTCCGCGCCGGTACTGGTGTTCCGCCGCGCACCGGGGCCACGGCGTAGCTTGCTACTATCTACAAGCTTGCCCCCCGTTGCAACAGGAACCCGGGTGCAGCATAGACTGTGCGTTCGGGCATCATGTGCGGGCCGATACGTATCCATACGGAACACCCTGCATTGTTCAAACCGTCCGTTTCGCCGCAGAAACGAGAGCGAGCAAAAAAACAGGTCCCGTGCATGTCTCCGTCATGGTGCGGGTTTGGACTTGACCGGCAGAGCATCTTCTATTGCCTCCGTCATGTCCGGCTCTAGCGGGCTGAGGTTCGACCCAAAAACCTGTGTTAGACAAAAACAGCAGTGCACACATGAGTGACTGCACACGATCCCAAAACAGGGGCGTGAACAACACGACTGCACATTTTCACTCAAAACCCAACGGAGAAGGGGGCCCTTTGGGCATAGTCTAGACTAAAATCTGACCTCTCTTGAGGATGAACATCATGGGCGCGGGCCAAAGAACCTGAGCGCTAAAGCGCTACTTTACGCTTACTACTGCTGTACGTGCAGGTTTGCATCCTCTGTGCCCTCTCCCGATATATTTTTGTTGGCAGCAAGACAAGACCCCAAGCGTGAGCGTGAATGCAAATTTCGGGTACGTCGACTACTGTAGGTTTACCCCCCGGGTGTACTCATGACAACGCGTGCCGCAGTCCTTAGTCTAGACAATCATCAACTTCGGATCCCTACTATGCAAACCATGTCGGGACGGAGCGAAATGCCGGGCTTCGCCGGCTACGTTTCGTTTGAAGGATGCACCACAAGCTGGCCATTTTCCTTGCACTTGCTGTGCCAAACCAGAAACGCCGTGGGTTTTTTGGGCGTACCGGCCAGCCAAACGTTCACATCCTCCAGGCACGGTTGTACACAACAGGTGCGCCACACCCAGCACGCGTCGCTTCGTGTGTGATACTTGTTGGAATATAGGCTGCAATATTACTTCAAGTGGAAAGGTTCTATAGGTGGGGTACTACTTTGTGGGGAAAATTTGCCCTCAGGGAGGGCGTGTAGTCATGTTTTGCATGCCTTACAAGATAGACCATTTACCACGCGTCCCCAACATTACGGAGCGGGGAAGCGGAAGAGGGAGCGGAGGGGGGTGTACTCATAGTAGGGAGGGGAGGGGCGGAGGACTTCGAAAAATTCCCGTGAGTCAACTGAAGAAATATAAGACATTCGGTGAGCGTTTGTGACCTTTGGACGTTGGTTGTTTGCTGCTTAACGCGACAAAAAAATGGCACTGAATATAGAGCAGTGGCCAAAATCGGGTACACCCGGTCCAAACACGGCCATAATCGGGTACTCCGACAAGACGCTGCTGGAAACGACCGCATGACACCATCTGATTGGCCGACGCCCACCCCTACCCGACCTTGACCATCTTTCCACCGGGTGCACCCGATCTTGGCTACTCGCCCCCCGGAGATATCCCGGTTTTTCTTTCCCTAACCCGAAAATGGCTGGGCTATTCGGCCAAACCCCATGCCCACAAGTACACGTCAGCAATCTCTTGCCCTCGAATTCGGACGTTCTGACGGCGGGCGGGGGCGGACCCACCTCCGGCGGTGGAACTCTCGCTTGGGGGAAACGGCATCAGGCAGGTGGCTGGTGCAAATGATCGAGAAGGGCCGTGGATGAATGTCTCACGAGATGCGACACACACGAGACGCATCTAAAATATAGACATATTCTCTGCTGCTGCTTTCTCACTCGTGACAAACGAGCGGCCAGCGGTGTGCGTCCTGCTCGTCATTGTGTGCATGTGGGTTTTCGCCGAACAGCCCAGCCATTTTCGGGTAGGGAAAGAAAAACCGGGTACTCCTCCGGGGGGCGAGTAGCCAAGATCGGCTGTACCCGGTGGAAAGACGGTCAAGGTCGGGTAGGGGCGGGCGTCGGCCAATCAGACGGTGTCATGCGGTCGCTTCCAGCAGCATTTTGTAGGAGTACCCGCTTATGCCCGTGTTTGGACCGGGTGTACCCGATTTTGGCCTCTGCTCCTAAATAACTATTGGACGTCAACCCAAGACAAGATTTTCATTCACGCGCGAAAGAGTGTCCAAGCGTGCACCCACAAGTTATGTGTTCGACGGAGGAATATTCCACAATGTTATGTTGTGATTTCCCCACTCTATACGCGAACAAAACATCGTGACAACTGCGGTAACAAAGTATTATTAGGTCCTTCATTCTCTAGAGCTGTGGTTTGATTGGTCGATGAATACACAACAGACTTACTTACGTTCCGAGATGGTACGCACACCGGTTACGGTAGTGCTTCTCGCAACACTCGGGTACACAGGCGACGTGCTGAGCACCGCTGCAATGAGTTCATCGGGGCATGCATGAGATGCCTCCAGAGACAAGCCTGGCGATCACGGAGGGATGTCCACCACCCCTCGGCCGTTTCCAGGCCGGAAAACATACATACTCAGCGGGATGTAGCAGTATCAGCAAAATGCCACAGCATCGAACCCGGGGATCTCCGGCACATATGCCCACTTCAGCATAAAATCCCGGGCATATCTGCATAAACCCCGCCCCCAAATGTGATTGCGGCTTCGAATGCGAAGACCGTGTTCATGTAGTCGCGGAATGTCCGTGGTACAAGAAGGAGAGGGAAGTTTACGTGACTGAGCTGGGAAAAATAGATAGGACGTAAAGGGAGATGTTTGAGGCATGGAATAGAGAGGAAAGGACGGTAGCTGTACTGGGGCATAGGAGGTGGGTTGAAAAGGCGGGAAGGGATATCGTTAGGATNCCCAGTGTTTGCCATCGGGGTTGGGTTTTCGTCGCTTGGCAACGACGTTGTCTAACAAGCCAATTCACATCGTGAACTCGGCAACCAGGTTACCGGTATTTTTTTAACCTCCGTTTTTTTTTTTCGGTAACCATGGTGGTGGTCGAGTAGATCATGTTGTGCGGGGTCGAGAACCCTCACTACGCGCAAGAGGGATGATCACACCACGTTGTGTTAAAATGGTCAAGTACCCTCAAGGCAATTACACAGTGCTTCCAACTGTCTCAGGAAGTGAAAGCATCAGAAAATAAATCAAGTCATACGCAGCTGTCATCCCTACGCAAGGAAGTAAGCACAAGATGCCG